ACACACACACACACACACACACACACACAGATCCTTAAAGCAGACCTGCCTTTTCAACGATTAACATCTTTCCCACACATCTGCAGGGCCCTCAAACATTTTTATCAACAGCACCAAATTCCTCTCTCTAAACCAGGATTGCAGATTTTAGGTCAAGAGTGTAATTGTGACAATATTCGATTGCCACGCAGGTTAATAAGCAGCGGGAGCTGCCTGTCTGGGGTTCTACTAAAAAAAAGCGGGGGGCGGGGGAGGCATACTAAATCTCATTATAAAAACAAGATATCAAAGAAAAAAACATATTTAATTCATAAGATTTTGCAATAAATTAAGATAAAAGTAACAAATCCAAAGATAACATAGTTTAAAACTGAGCTAGCTCTCAGGGGGCAGAAGCAGGTAGATCTCTGTGAGCTGGAAGCCAGGCAGGGTATAAAAAGAAACCTTGTCTTAAAGAAAGAAAGAAAGGAAAAGAGGGAGGGAAAGAAGGGAGGGAGGGAGAGAGGGAAGGAGGGAGGAAAAAAGAGAAAAGAGACAGAAAAGGGTGTGGTGACTAAACAAAGTACATGAATTTCTCTTTGTGTAACAATATTAATCTTGGGGGTTGGCATACAAAGTAACAAGTTTCATCTTGGCATCCTCATAAATGTCATTCCAGTTTGTTCTCCTCCATTCCCCTCCTCTTTGCTCACTCTTAAAAGATGTATCAAACCTCAGGAAATCTGGAGAGAGCAGGAAGACAGGAGGTGAGTCTAGGAAGAGTTAGAGGATGGAAAGGGAATGAAAAAACACACTGTATGAAATTCTCAAAAATTAAAAATACTACAGTGCCCTACCTTGGGAAAATGAACAGACTAAAACAGATCCCATTTTCCATCACAAATTGAAAATAATCTCTCAACTACAGACAAGGCAGTGCAATCCAGCTTTAGTTCAAACCCTTCATGATGACGGCGGCGCAAGTAGTTGTTGCAGTGCTAGCAAGAGGCAGAACTGGAATCACTCCAAGGCTCTAGGATGTACTCAGTACCAGGTATCAACAAGGAAAATGTGGTATCATGAGGTTAACTTTGTCACATGTTTAAATCTCTCACTGTCATATACTTCATGTTACAGTTCATGAAATCACCTGGGTCCTTCTACAATAAACTACAATATTTAATTAAGAACAAATAAAACCCGGGCATAGTTGGGTACACCTTTAATCCCAGCAGTAGGGAGGCAGAAGTAGGCTAGCCTGGTCTACAAAATAAGTTTCAGGGCAGCCAGAGCTACATGGTGAGACCTTATCTTGAAAAAATAATACAAACCAAAAAAGAACCAAATTTGGTAAGGTAACATATAAAACTAGTTTTCAAAGACCAGAAACTAATTTTGTACATATTAATTGTGAATGTTTTCTTTCTTTTTTTTTTTTTTTTTTTTTTTTTTATAAATTTTTTAAAAAAAAATTTTTTTTTTTTATAAAATTTTTTTTTTTTTTTTTAAAAAAAAAAAAATTTTTTTTTTATTTTTTAATTTTGAATTTTTTTTTTTTTTTTTTTTTTTTTTTTTTTTTTTACTTAGAAGTTTGGAAACCAAACTATCTTTAAATCTAAAAGATGATATTTTCTTATATAACACAAATACATCAATTTCAATGTTATTTCTAAAATACAAAATTAGCCTTGACGTTCATCAACAGATGAATAAATAAAGAAAATGTTGTACATATGCACAGTGGAATTCCATTCAGCCCTCAAGAACAAAATGTATTCTCAGCAGGAAAATGGGTAGCATTGGCAACTATCATGCTAACTGAAATAAACCATATCCTGAAAGATAAATGTCATGTTTTCTCTCATCGGTGAGCTCTAGATTGATGTATGTATATATCATATAGGTGACACAAAAGTAGAAGGGGGAACTATGGAAGGGAGTACATGAAAAAACAATGAGAAAAGAAAAAAGTACAATGATAAACATATATAAAACTGTCATAATGAAATCCATTATTTTAAATACCAACTTTAAAAATTAATTTTAAAAATCTGCTGACATCTAAAAATGAGGTTGGAAAGGACCCACATTCCTATCATCGCATCTACTTCAATTTCCAATTATTCATCTTGAGTGAACTTTTTTTTTTTCCCAAGACAGGGTTTCTTAGCTCTCTTTGTATACCTGGGCTCACTTTGTAGACCAGGGTGGCCTCGAACTCACAGAGATGCACCTGCATCTGCCTCCCCAAGTGCTGAGATTACAGGTGTGCGCCACCACACCTGGCTATATGAGTGAACTTTCAAACTCACCTTATTTAGAATACCACTGTTTCTAAAAGAAACCATTTTTAGTGGATATATTGTATTTACTACCTTATACAAGAGGAAAAAAGGTTTCGAACACATCTGTTTTCCTTATATTTGTTGACCCTGAGTTTTTTGTTTTATTTTGTTTTTAATGATTTGAATCCCCTACTCAAAAAGTACTGTGTATTTCCTCCTGGGCACATGTTACAAACTACAGTTTAAAATCCTACTCAAACCAACTTAGGTCCCAACATAACTCATTTGTGGATGTCTCAGCACATGTTTTAAACATCCTGTATTCCAAAAACTCAGCTGATGTTGAAGTTCCTTCACTTCAGGAAATGAGAGTTGACTCAGTGAGCCCACTGCGGACACCTCAGAACTTGGCTCCTGCTTTCTAGCCGCTCCCTCCTGGAGCCTAACCTCCATTATTCTGTCAGTGTTTTAACTGAAAATCTCACTGTCACATTCCTTAAAAATCTTCATTTCCCAAAGCAACCTACAGAGTAAACTGTGACCCTCGGCTTGGCACGGAAGGTCTAAGACATGGTGAGCCTACCTTGACTCTCCCTCCCATTCTCACATTCACAGACTTGAACCACTCATTGACACTTTCATTGGCTGCTAACCAGCTGGGGTGGTGGGTACCTTTAAGAGGATTCCTCCCCTCTGAGTTGAAATTTTCGCACCCATTTAGCTCAGTTCAAAAATCACTTTCTCACACAAACCACAAACCACCATCTCTCCTACACCCCTTCTGATCCACCAAAACCGTCAGGGCTGTGTTTCCCTGGACTCTGGTAACTAATGGCTAGGCTGATTCTCAAGGTGGACAGACCAGCCTCAGCGTGCAGGCGGCCCACTGCAGCCACAACTGAGGAAACGCACGGATGTTCCGCTCATTCCCGTGCACATGTGTAACGATAAACATACACACAAGCTAAAAATACAGTTTGGTTTATACCGACAAACACACGAACTTAGAGGGTACTAACATTGCAGATCCCTTCACGCTTAACCATCTGTAACAGCCCAGGAAGGGTAATCTTCATCACAAATCCCTAGCAGCATCCTAGTCTAAATTAATCAGTATTTTGAACTCCAGGGTCTCCACGCCAGAGGAAGCTGACTTAATTTAAAAGGAGAGAGCCAGAGACAAGAAACAAACGTAGTTTCGTGAAGGTCAGCGGTCCTGCACTCAAATCTACACTCATCACCTTGGAAGGCAACAATTTTGTAAAGCCTTTCATTGTCCATCGTATTCCCGGCGCTGGCAGAGATAACTCAGCCATGCAAACAATAATTTAATACAGAAGATAAAATAACTTATTTCCAGGAAAAAAAAAAATTAGCGTGTAGATGGTGTGTTTCCACTCTCTTTCCTCATCTCCAATACAAATATCTTAAATATTTACGGGAAGTTTCACAATTCCAACGTCCCGGTCGACAGTAATTTAATTCTTTCCGATAATCCCCCGGGTTAAACAGGGCAGAGATTCTTTGTCCGGATTTAGAGAGACCGAGCAGCAGGCTCTAGAAACGTAGCGTTCCGTTTATTTTCCGCAGAAAGTATTCTGACTACAACAAAAACCGGCCCAAGGAAAAGCCGCCCTCTGCTCCACCAGGATCGCGGTGGACCCGCTGCGGAGTCGGCGGAGACGACGGGCGTCGAACCTCAGATTCCGAGAGACCGGAGCCAAAGTCCCGTCTCCCAGCCGGGGGCCGCGACAGCCGGTCCTCCCGCAAGCGCTGGCTGCAGCCTGGGAGCGGCGAGCGCACCGCCGCGGCGCCGCCGGGCTCCGGCTCGGCGCTGTCAGGCTGCCGGCGCCCGCCTCGCCCAGCCCGCCCCGCCGGGCGCTCCCGCCGCCCCGTCCCCTCGACACCCACCTGACCGCCCGGCAGCGAGCACCGGGCCCAGCAGGCCCCACGCCAGCAGCCACCTCAGTCGCCGAGCGGCGGGGGGCGAGAGCGCGCGCGGCCCCATAGCGAGGGCTTCTGCAGGTCCCGCTCACCGCGCGGCCGCCGCCTCCGCCCCTTCGGTCATCCTCGCCACCCCGCGGGGGCCCCCGGGCTGGCGGGGCGCGCGCCCGCGGCGGGCACGCGCGCGGCGCTGACGCAGCCCCCTCCTCCGCCCCTCCACGCCCGCCCCGGCCGCCCTCGGTCCCGCCGCCGGAGGCTGACGTCAGGAAAACACAGTCCGCGGGGAGAGACGGTGGCCTGCCGCACCGCGGCGCTAGTCCGTCCCGCCCCTCCGCCCGCGCAGCTCGCTGGGGGCGGGGCTAACGAGAGCCCCGCCCCTCCACCCTTGCAGCTCACAGAGCGGAGATGTTGCTGGGGGCGGGGCTTCTTTTAGTTCCACCCCTCCACCTTCCGCCCCTCTCCGTTAGAAAAAGCGGAGGGCCGACTGACTAGGGGCGGAGTCAAGACTGGCCACGCCCCTCCCTGGCCACTTCTGATTGGTCGCAGCGGCGGGCGGAGCGTCGAGCTGCGCACTGGTTGGCTGTGTGGCGGCGGGCTGCGTGCCTACGCAGAGAGGCCTGACAGCGCCGGGGCTCGGGTCGGCCGCGGCGGCCCGGCTTTGTTTTTAGGCCAGGTCTCTGGGACCGGCCCGGGAAGATGGTGCTGGGGGGCTGCCCTGTGAGTTACCTACTGCTCTGCGGCCAGGCGGCCTTGCTGCTGGGGAACCTGCTGCTGCTGCACTGTGTCTCTCGGAGCCACTCCTTTAATGCCACGGCGGAACTGGATCTCACACCCTCAGGCGCCGCTCATCCCGAGGGTCCCGCGGCCCAGAGCTTGGAATACAAGGACCCCAACTCTCCCGTCATCCTTTGCTCTTACCTGTAAGCTACCAGATCGCGGGGGCGGGCCTGGCGGGCCTCCGGGTGGTTTGGGGAAGGCTGAGGGGAAGGCTGCTTCCACCCGAGGGAGGTGAATTCCGGGACGGGTGCTTCTCAAAGCCCCTGCCGCAGAAAGCCTGCTGTGTTAGCGGTAGATGCTGGCAAGGGGTAATGTAGGCCCTAGAACCCTTCCGCTTCCTGCAACCTTTTCCCTGCCTTGGTTCCAGGATGAGTTCGAGGCCGGCCAGCCAGCCTTTATCTCAAACTAAATTAAAAAAAAAAAAAAAATGAAAGGGCCCGAGATGTAACTCAGTGGCAGTTGGCATCCCTAGCGTATACAATTTCCAGTACAGGAGGGAAGGGTAGAAGGAAGGAAAGTGGGTAGGATGGCGTGCGTTCCCTTAGCAGTCAGCAAAGGGGGTGGCTGATGACGGTCTTCCTGATTTGCAGACCCGACGAGTTCGTAGACTGTGATGCCCCAGTGGATCACGTTGGAAATGCAACTGCATCCCAGGAGCTTGGTCATGGTTGTCTCAAGGTGAGGTTTTTGTTTTTTATACACGCACTCTTCCCGTAGTTGAGTGCTTGGCGTTACCGAAAAGCATACCGAAGGGCATACAAAGAGACTTTTTTTTTTTTTTTTAAAGTCAACTGCATTAACTGTTTTTAAGTAATTTGTATAACTGTTGCTGGAAATTTCCAGCACGACCAGGGTTTTAGTGGCTGAATAGCATCATTTGCTTTCCTCAGGAACCAGCAATGCCTGTGCCCAAGCTGCCCAAGTGCAAAGACCAACCTGTATTGGTTCCTTTGGCTGTTGAAACTAACAAATTGAAAATGTCAGCTGTGCTTTCAAAGCAAGCCCTCTCTTGAAAGAGCAGCAACCAAAAAAAAAAAAAAAAAGGTCATGCACTTCGTAAGCCGATGCTGAATTGGGCTTTCTTGGTTAGGCATGCACTTGGATTTTGGATGGAGTTCCTCGTGCAGGTGATGACAAGCAGGTTGCACATGTCCCTGCGAAGTAGCACAGTTTCATCGGTTATGTGTTTGTTTGAGGATAAGGCATTCTAGAGAAGCCATTAATATCCTTAAAGTGAGTGTGCCTACTTGTTCTCTTAAGACCCGGTGTAGTTTGACTTGGCTTCAGTTTTGTTGTGGTGGTGGGTTTTTGTTTGTTTTGTTTGTTTGCATGTGAGAAGGCCTCACTCTGTAGCCCAAGCTACCCTTAAACTCACGATCCCCCTGCTTGAGCCTCCTAGTGCTAGCATATAGGGTTTTGCATTGCTGTCTTAAGTCCTCAGTCACGTGATAGTCTGAATTATTTTCTGATTTTGCTCATTTACAGTAAATATACAACGAATGTCCTAATACGCATTGACATCTCAATTCCCATTCCAAAACTGCTGCGTTCTGTGCCTGTAAATACCAGATAATCAGAGTACTGTACATCTCTGCAGTTTCTGTTTGACTGTATATTGAAGAAGTCAGTCATAAGGGAGAAAGGTTGATTTTATGCGCACTTAGTACACTCAGGATGGACTGCTAAGTCTCTAGACGTCATCACTGAATTCCGTGCTTTTGACAGCTTACTTAATGGTGCTAGCCTTGTTACAGTACTGAAGCAGCTTTTATGGGTGAATGTGTGTGTGTGTCACTTTCTCCACAGTTTGGGGGTCAGGCCTACAGTGACGTGGAACACACTGCCGTTCAGTGCAGAGCCCTGGAGGGAATTGAATGTGCCGGTGCCAGGACCTTCCTCCGAGGGAATAAGCCCTGTATAAAGTAAGCGTTACTTTGTCGTGCTGTATGCGTGGTGCTGGGATCTGAACTCAGTGCACATGCTCAGCATGGTAATGAGCACACCCCAGTTCAAACTTAAGTGTCACTTTGAAAGGAGTCGTGGGTTCTTTGCTAGAGGAACTCCTAGTGTGGCTTTTTCTTTGAAGTATTAAAGACCGGGGGCTTCTTCCTGCATGTGGCCAGCTGACTGAGGTGGTGTGATTACAACAGCTAGGAGCAGAAGTTGTGAGTTGCGAGTCTTTCAGGCACTAGGCCAAATGATGCAGCTTCAAAACTCCTGACTGGCAACCAGCCTTAGGACTTCTGGAACAACGTTTTGCAAAGAAATGTGAGTTTCTCAACTGAAATCACCTGAGCCTAAAGGAGTGTGATGTAAAGTCTACCAAAAGATGCAGAATCTACTTAAGACTGTTAGCAAATAGAGAGGCCTTGGTGATGTCAGTAACTGCAGTCAAGTGTCTTCACCGAGATATAAAAATGCTTCAGCAGATGAAAGGAGCATGAGAATGAGGCTCTCATTTAAGGAAAAGTGTTTCTTTGAATAAAAAATGTTCATAAAGTGAGCAGAACCTCGAGCACAGACCCCTCTGCTACCACCATCTTTTATGCATGTTAAAAAACATGTTTGTTTTTAATATATATGTTTGTATATGAGTGTCGGCTTGTGCATGTTGACTGCAGGGCCTGCAAAGACCAACAGAGGGCATCTGATCCAGGCAGTTGAGTCAGCTGGTGTCATTGCTGGGAATCCTGGCTCCTCTGCAAGAGAGCAGCAAAAGTGCTCTTAAGCACCGAGCCCTCTCTCTAGGCCCCTTTTTATTCTTAAAAGTCCCTTCACATCTTAGCAAGTACATTCTCGGGATCCTAGACCAGCAGCTCTCAGCCTGGGGTTTACATATCAGCCCTCCTGCATATCAGATAGTTATCTTGTGAGTCATAACAATATAACTTGTGAAGTATATAGTTGTGAAGTAGCAATGAATGGAATTTTATGGTTGGGGTCACCACTACATGAGGAACTATACTAAAGGGTTGAAGCATTAGGAAAGCTGAGAACCGCTGCCTTAGGCTGGGGAGAGACTGCCCATCCCAAGACTTGAAAATTCTTAGTGTTTCAAAGGACCTAGTCAGGAGCATGTTCTTAATATGCAGATTAATGTCCTTCGCCATGTCGTGGTGGTCCACCCCAGGAGACTACTCCTTTGCCTTTATCATGCCAAGGTCAAGTGTCAGGCCACTAGGCATCACTGTGTATAGCCTAAAGCTGCTAAAATTATTCAAGTAGCCAATCCTAAATTGCCTTTATGCCCTGCCTTGGCTTTCCTGCTAAAACACCAATGAAGTTGCCACCGGGACCTACCCCTTACTCCTGTCTTCTGACCATCGTGTTCTCCCTCCCATGTAGCCCAGCAGGACAACAGCCCTGCCTCCTCTCTAGGACCCATGACCCATGAATGCAATAAGCTATTTGTTTGGCTTTCCCCATCCCACCCCCAGGCTTAGCCACACCTGAATGTATCAAGAACCCAACCAAGACAGGAGGCCTCTGTGCCACATTGCTGCACTTCTATTATGTTACATTCAGTTTTCTTTTTGTTTTGTTTTTCAAGACAGGGTTTCTCTGTGTAACCTTGGCTGTCCTGGACTCGCTTTGTAGACAAGGGTGGCATGGAACTCACAAAGATCTGCCTGCCACTGCCTCCCCTAGTGCTGGGATTAAAAGCGTGCACCACCATGCCTAGCTTGCATTCAGTTGTCATGCAGCAAAACCATCTCCCTCCCTTCATCCAGGTACACCGGACACTACTTCATAACCACGTTGCTCTACTCCTTCTTCCTGGGATGTTTTGGCGTCGATCGCTTCTGTTTGGGACACACTGGAACAGCGGTTGGGAAGCTCCTGACCCTTGGAGGACTCGGGATCTGGTGGTTTGTTGACCTCATTTTGCTCATCACTGGGGGGCTGATGCCTAGTGATGGCAGCAACTGGTGCACTGTCTACTAAAAGCTGCTGCTGTGCCATGCTGGCAAGGAACACGAGTGCTCAGCCACCAAACTCGTTACTATAAGCTCTGAATTCTCCTCTGAACATCACGTCCTCTTCAGAAGGACAGACTGGATTGTTCAACCCAAATCTTACCTTGCAAACCAGAAACGGCAAGCAGTATTCTGGGAGTCCGGTCATACCGTTCCTCATGACAAAACAGCAAAGATCAAAGACAGTGACCTCTCCCCACAGATCATTCTCAGTGCTGTGTCTGTGAGGCTGGATCTTCAGTCGTCTGGAGCAGGGGCCCAACAGGATAAACCAAGTGGTTGTTTATCCATCCACAGCCTTTTGTGACCCTGAATTTTCATGCACAGATCAGAAGCTGCGCCAATGAGAAATCTTCAGCCAATATAGAAATGACCGTGGATTTTAATACACACCAAAACTCTGAGTCTGTGAATTTAAATTGCAGAATAAAGCTTTAAAACCTCACCTGCTATGTGAGTGTTTTCAGTAGAGGATGAAACTCAAAAGTTGTTTTTACTGAAGGGTAAGCACTTAAAATGAAACAGTTACAGGTTGAATAGAAATGTCCCTCAGCAATCTCATGCATCAGGCTTGGTTGCCAGCTCTTAGAAAATGAGAATCCTGAAGGCTCACATCTGATCAGTGGATTATGGTGCCATCATTGGAAGGTGAGGAAGAGTGGGAAGTGAGGCCTGGCTGGAGGAAGAAGGGCACTAGGGAGTGAGTGGCCTTGAGGCTCCATCTTGCCTGCCTCTCTTCCTGTCCACCGTGAGATGAAAGTCTAATCCACCACACACTCACGCCATGCTGTTCTGCCCAAGCCACGGGGCCAGCCAGCCTTGGACTGAGCCTTCTAAAACTAGGACCAAAATAAAGCCTGCCTCCTTGAAGTTGCCTGCTGGGTGCTCGTTGTGATGTTCTAGAGACAGTAATTTCTTCATTCCGGTTATGTTTTGATAAAAATGGTAGACATGTGTGAGTTAACAGAGTTGTCCTGCCTAAAATGAGTAACTTCCAATTTATTTACCCCACATTATAAATGCTTATTCAAAAAGACTTTAGGCTAGCGGGCACCTCATTAATCTCAGTGCTTGGGAGGCAGAGGAAGGTAGATTTCTTGTGACTTAGAGGCCAGCCTGATCTACATAGTGAGACCATGTTTTTTTGTTTTGTTTTTAAAAAAAGATTTTATACAAGTAACTATTAATTTTTAATTAGTAACTTTTAATTAGGTGAGATAAAACAAGGAACCACATGCCCATGGAAACAAAAATTAAGAAAAATATATGCCTACTTAATAGCTAGTACTAAGGTCAACTCAGGATATTTTAGGGGAATAAGGAAGAAACCAATTCTGTTCATACAAGGATGACAGTAAAAGTTTTCACAATGGATCACAGAGTTACAGGCAGTCAAGTTTTGCATTCCCAAGTCACTAGGAAGAAAAGATGTTCTGACTTATAAGCAGCTTTGAAATCTAAGTTAAAAAGAACTATTAAATATAACATCTCAGAACAAGAGACCTGCTCTTCATTTAGTTACAGAGTCTAGAAACAGGGTAGAACTACTCCACGTTCATTTCCATAGTAACTGACATAAAAACAGATAGTTCAGGTGACAAAAGTCCTGGAAACAGCATCATTTTGTAGAACTCTTCTTCAAAGTTTCTGCCTCAGCATCCGTGAATAACATCACTGTTCTCACTAGAGATGACAGCTAAAAACTACACTAACTTTAGCCCTGCTTACAACAACTGGAATTCTCAATTCATAATTTCTACACACTAAGGAAATATTTTTAAGATTAGCTGTGAAGAAACTAGAGCCGGACACTTGAAACTTTACATAAGAGATCCAGGAATGCCGTATTTTAAAAAACTTTTCTAAAAGGCTCAATTGGTGAACCCTTGCCTAACATTCACTGATCTCTAGTTTGATTCCCAGCACCCTCCCAAGTCACGAAGGCTTGTAATAAAATTAAAATATTACCCAAAATAAATCCTTTAAGCCATGAGTCCGCCTTTCCACAGCTCATTATATAAAAATCTGTAAGCTCCGTTAAAAGAAAGAACCTAGGTAAGAAGTACGTCTCTAAATGGTTCAAAAAACTATTGTAATGTAAGAAGTTGTCTCAGAAACACTGGAGGACCAAAATAATGTCTACCGCTAAAATGATCACTTTGAGGGTACTATCCCTGGGCGGTAAGCTGATATCATCATTTGGTAACCTTTCTGTCTACAAACACTGACCCAAAGTGTGATATAACCTGGGAAACTGGATAGACAAAGGGGTATTATTTAAATACGATTGCTCTTTTACAGTCCAGATTCAGGCTCCTAATATTTCCTAGGTAGATCATGTGTACATGTGTATGACAGTCAGTTTGTGTCTATCTAGGTTGCTGATTTAATTGGGAATTACCTGTTTTCCAGTTGTTTGCTTGTCTTTAGATTTTATCAGATTGGCATGGCTGTTTCCACGTGGCTTAGGAAGGTTTTTCTGTAGCAGAGGAGCACCCTCAAGATCCATGACAGTATGTGTGTTTGTGTGTGTGTTGATGTATGTGTACAAACATGTGCTCATACAATCAAAGCATCCATTTTTCTTGGGCACATCTTTGATACAGACCAGGTGATGTAAGTGGTTTTGCTAGCCAGTTTCTCAAAGTAAGATGCTTAATTGATTATTTCAGGTGTGACTGTCAGAAACAAGGTTTGACTTCCTCGAAGCACAGTGATGGCAAGAAAGTCATTGTCCTTAACAGCTTCAATGACGTCAGTTGTGGTGCTGACTGGTTGCCCATTTATGCTGATAATTACATCATGGTCTCTCAATCCCGAGCTGAGAAAGAAAAAGAAAAGATGATCAGGCCAGGAGTGGTGACAAACACCTTTAATCCCAGCACTCAGGAGGCAGAGGCAGGTGAATCTCTTGAGTTCAAGGCCAGCCTGGTCTACAGAGGAAGTTCCAGGACAGACAGGACTACACAGAGAATCCTTGTCTCAAAAAAGAAAGAAAAGATGATGAAAGCATAAGAAGAGTTCTACTCATTCCCATGTGGGGTAAGTCTGTCTGTTTTGTCTGATTCACCACCACCACCACCCTGAGCTGTCCGACTAATTTGTAGGCCATTAGACATACAAACCAAGAAGGTCAGATCAGCCTGAACCCTTCCAACTGCAAGAGCTGCTGGAAGTTGTGCCGTGAAGGCAGCTGGAGGACAAGGATCCTCTGTGTTTCTGGTAATATTAATGTCCTATGGAATTCTGGGAGAGGCTGAGGCCCCTTATGCATTGGATTTCACTTGGAATGGACAGTTTAGTTTCTGATTTCTCCTCATCTCCCGCCTGTGTTAACCTCAAACATGACTAGACTCACGAGCAATAGTGCCAAGCCCAAGCCCAGACTGTTTTTTCCCCCTGCCAGGAAGCCGTGCTCTGGGGAGTCTGCCTGGAGAGCCCATCCCATGTTTCTGGAACTGGAGCATGATGAGCTGCTGTGTGTCCAGATGTTATGCTTCCAGTAAATCAAAAGCTGCTCAGGCTTCCAAGTCCAGATGTTTACAGCTCTGACTCAAGGCTAGTTCTATTCAGTCTTCAACACAGTGACCTCACGTAGAGTATACACTCTAGATCAATGGTTCCCAGCCTTCCTAACGAGGCAGCCCTTTAATACAGTTCCTCATGTTGTGGTGACCCCCAACCATAAAATTATTTTTGCTGCTACCTCACAACTGTAATATTGCTGCTGTTATGGATCTTAATATGAATATATGTGCTTTCCAATTGTCTTAGGCGACTTCTGTGAAAGGGTTGTTTGCTCCCAAAGGGGTCGCAATCCACAGGTTGAGAGCCACTGTTACAGATAAAAAATCCAGCTCCAAAAGCAGAGAGAGATAAATTATGGACAGGCTGGTTGGCTGTGTAAAGGTAAGAATGGGCTAAAAGAGGGGCATCAAATTAAACGATCTAGGAGATGCTATTTCAGGAAAGTGGGAAGAACAAGAAAAAAAAATGACAGTAGATTACCAAGCTATGTGGAGTTTGAAAACTGTGAGGGGCAGAGGCATAGCTAAGTGGTTGAGGGTATGTTTCGCATGTACCTGGTCCTTAGTTCAATGGCCAGCACCAAAGGTTGGGGGTGAAAAGGTAATACAGTGGACATGAAGAGAAGGAAGGATAAAGCTACATGAAAGGAACCCTTAAGAACAGGACAGTAGAGGACAATGACCTGAATGCTGTGTGGAGAAAGAAGAAAACTCAGCAATCATGAGCAGGGAAACAGAACAAGAAAGAAACTGCTGTGGCTTGGGGCCTGCTGTGCATGGAATACGAGGAGTGGGTTCACAGGATACGTGGCCTTTGCCCAGGTCTCACTACTTTCAAGATTTTAAGGCAGGATTTGATCCCTTGTCTCTTAGACTTGAATATTCATCTTCTAAGTGAAAAATTCATCACTAAGTGAACTCTGCCTCTTAGCAATGAGAGTAACTACAGAATCAGGATCGTAGAGTAAATAAGCCAAGGTTCATATCTGCTCTTTGACCTCTGTGTAACAACACAGATGCCACCCCATAAAAACAAGGACTGTGTCATATGACACCTCAAACAACTCTAAAAACGCTTTCGTGTCTGGGATATAATAAATGTTCCCTAAGTGCCAGCTGCTATTAGTGTAATTATTCGTGGTTATTAAATAAGGGGATGAAAGCCAGCAAGGACAGATGTTGGGCTGGTGGAGACTCCAGCAGCACTTCTCATTTTGACCTGCATGTGACCTACCTGGGAATCCTGCTCTTAAGATGAAGACTCTCCTATGGTAGTCTAGTAGTAGGACACTTGTTTAGCACACAAGGCCCTGGATTCAAACCCCAGAAAGGAAGTAATAGAGTTAAGGAGAACTGGGGAGAGGGCAAGGGTAGAATGGGCGGGGTGGGGGAGGGGGAAGGAGGGGAACGATAATCTGGCACAGTTCATACAACTAACCCCAGCTGTGGGAGGTTGGAAGACAAGAATCCAGAGTTCAAGACTAGCACTGGGTCAGAGAGATAGAGAGGGGACAGGAAGGAGGAGACCAATTCAGGGGTGGGGCTCGAGCGGCCTCTCTAACTGGCTACTGCCGAAGCTGCCGCTGACAGCACACCACACTTTGAGTTCAACTTAAGGAACTGAGCTCCTGGCCTTGGATCAGAAGTTAAAATAAGGAGTTAGGGGAGGAGCCGGGCACGTTAGGGGACCCGGAGCATCTAGAAAAGCTTATGACATGCCAAATTTAGTATCCTGAGACCTGACACTCAGTTGTGCTAAACTGCTAGTACCCATGATTTCTTCCATCTCTGAAAGAGTTGCCAAAGTCTCAACGGACTGCTGAGGCTTGAAAAACGAAACGTAAGCAGCAATGAAGGGCAGAGCCAGAATAACATCTGCCAATGAGCTGCCTCTCCCTGACGCTGAATAGCCTAAAGC